AGGGTTTGGTGTAATTTCCACTTATTTTGATCTAAGAAAAGTTTCTAGGCTGGATCGGACCTCTGCCCAGGTCCAACCCATCCTAACTTACCCTGTATATATATTTTTATTTTACCATTCGCCTTTTGAAATTCTAATTCGATAATATTAATATTTAAATTAAATCTCATTTTTTCTTCATATTATTGAAGATTTTTTTTTTATACACTTTCGAGTTAGATGATATCTTTAATTTAGTTAAAAGTAATGTTGTTATAAATATTATTATAATATTACAAAATATGATTTATTTTTAAAAATATTTTTTTACTTGACACACTGACAAATAATTAACAGTTAGCATAAATACTTGATTTTAGAATAATAAACAAATCTAATTAAAAAATAATCAATTATTTTATCTCTTAAACTACACTCATTTTCTCATTTTTTGTTTTTTATACCATTTACATTCATTCTAATTGTACCAAAAATTGCACGTGACTGCTCTGAGAATGGTCAAGCTTAGACCACAAAAGGTGTTTCCATGTACTTGAGACAAATTTGTCGAGGTAGTACCTCGTCGTCTATCCAATGTTTAAGTTGGCAAACTTGGAGAGAAATATGTACGTAATGATATGAGCTAAATGACTGGAAAAGCGTACCTCAATAATAAATACAAGTTATGTATCCATAGTCTTATGCTGTAATGTAAGGAGGATTTGACCGCTTGCTGAATCTTGAATGCATGGTTGATGGTTTGATAGCCTAAAGTGTAGTTAATAGTAGGAGTCATGAGGGAAAGTCATTGAGTTAAAAGTAGAATTCCAATGGTAGGGTCGAGTCCTAAGAGGATTGTACCATGCCTATGCTTGAATCCTACACTTACGGGTCGCCTCTAGGCCATACTCAGAATGGTCAAGGATCGGATCTCTAAGAAATGGAGGTACGACACCTATGAGACTCAGGTCATTTAACAAGGGACCTTGATATCAATGCTATCGGACTGGTCTATCCTCTAAAAAGGGGTTGGTGTCTGCAAATTATCCAAGGTTGAGGACCTAGACCTAAGTGAGCCAAGATTAGGTACCTAGGGGAGTTCAGGCATGGTTAGATTTGGAAGGGTTATTTGATATTGATAAAAGTTTGCATAATGCCCTACCTACTGGGGATTTTTCACAGGCCACTCACATGTATTAAAAAAAAATTAGCGCGGACCCCACCTATGTGTCTTGCTTGGCAGTATTCTGTGAAAATTTGCCCTGTACTTCAATCACTGCTCTAAAAGTTTTAAGGGGAATTTACAAAAAGAATAAAGCTATGGGTACATAGC